TTCCAAAGGTATGTTCGTAAGTCGATTTGTTCATAAGTCCAACTTTACTCCTGTCGATTTCAAACATGTATGGTGTGTACACTAAACACGAGGAATGGCTTTAAAGTTGTATAATCTCCTGTAGATGTCACTGGTTCTTCATGTTCTGCAGATGTAGATGCAACTGGTTCTTCATGTTCTGCAGATGTAGATGTCACTGGTTCTTCATGTTCTGCAGGTGTAGATGTCACTGGTTCTTCATGTTCTGCAGGTGTAGATGCTAATTCCCTTTGGTGCTCGTGTTTCCTCTCTACTCTTGAAAACTCGGCCCGAACAGGCAACTGGACATACGGGCAGATTTGTTCATAGCTCTGAAAGTTTGTAAGTCGAATGTTTGTAAGCAGATGACTCTCTCTACAGAGGATTTCAGAGATTGTTGGAGAATTGGTGCTGACTCGCCAGCTGGCTGCTGCCTTACCACTTTGTGGTTCCTCGCGCCTCCGAGTCATTCTCACTGTTCGAGGGCGAGCGAATACTGTGCGACAAGATTAAATCATTATTATTCGAATACAATGTTTTGGCTCACAATACATGCCAATGCATTGTGTGTGTGTATGAATCATTTACTGACAGTGCTGGCACGTGAGTCACTCAGGGCACATCTCTGGCATGGAGTGAATGCAACTGTACATAGAAGAGACTTTTCAAAACAAGTAACCATGTGAATGAGGAAGTCAAAACTAAATAAAAATGCAATGAACAGAATCGGTTCTTGAATTTCATCAAATTAGAATTGAGTGAGGAAATGCGACACAAATGTGACAGTGGTACCAACGAGGCAGTACAGATGAGACAAAAGTTGTTATTTAAATTTCCATTTAAAGCTCTCGTGACTGCAGGGATTCATATTCTTGGTTCTTTCGGTAAAGTCACGTATTTTATTGTTTTTATTTAAATTGTGACAATCTAATCGTGGTGAGCTTTGGGAAGTTAATTGCTCGGTCCCAAGTTTCAGGCAATGGTTCTTCAGAAAGGAGAGTTGTTTTACAGCTGGACTATCTGATTATATATCTAACTGATTGACAACTGTGCTGTGTTGGCCATGCGGGTTGTTTGACTGTACTTCACCAGCCTGGTGAGTGTGGGAAGCCCAGGACCGGTTTGGGTATCGCTCACCGCCCATGTTAAATTATCGTAAAAAAAACACATTCATAGTCGTAAAATTGAGTTGCAGAAACATCGAATAGGGGTCATTATTGCCCTCCTATGTAAACACAGACAAGGTTGTACGTGTCAGGGTGGTGACCTTTCAACTTCACAAAATATGGAAAACCTAAACACACATGTTACGCCCTCCCCTCCTTGTGTGTACAGTGTACTGTTGGCATCGCTCTTGTTCCTGCTACGGTGATACATCTTTTCTCGAATGTTTCCGAGAAAAAAAAAAGCTGCAGGTTTCAGCAGCTCCTCTGTTGATTTAAATAGCCGCTAAGTGTCCACTTGTTATTGTTGTTGTTGCTCTGCAGTGACTCCGAATTAAGTTTAGGATTTTATTTTTACTGGTAGGAACCTCCTGGTTACACCAGCCCACAGGGGATTATTGTGTCCGTCCGTCGTGCAGGGTGGGGTTTGGTGGGGAGGGAGGGGCTGGGTGGGAAGGGTGGGGCTGGGTGGGGAGGGTGGGGAGGGGCTGGGTGGAGAGGGTGGGGAGGGGCTGGGTGGGGAGGGGCTGGGTGGGGAGGGTGGGGCTGGGTGGGGAGGGTGGGGCTGGATGGGGAGGGGCTGGTCACCCCGTGGTGCCCTTATAAAACTCAACGTTTAACCTACTCACGCCGGCTTGTGCCCGCCCTCACAGTCGGGCATATTTGCGGAATACACCACGCCGCCGTTGACCCTGGCCATTGACCGAGCAACCCAACATTCCTACCAGCTCCCTCTGCAGGAATGTGTTTTAGGGTCTGCGCTTGAGGCGCAGGTTATACTATGCACGCTGCACTTATTTCGCACCGTATGTAGCAAGAATCAGAATATTTGTTCATAGTGGAGGAATCCGATGAGCTATGGAGCTGTTTTTTTCACAGTTGTCCAGTATTGATTTGAAGCTTTCGTGACTGCAGGAATCCATACTCTTTGGTTCTTTCGGTAAAGTCACGTGGGTAGAAAAATAAAAAAAATAAAAAAAAATATCACGACGTTTCGATCGCAACACAAGCAGTTCCACTGCTGGATTATTATTTCCGCCTGAGGACAACCGTTTGTGTTGCGATCGAAACGTCGTGATCTATTATTTTGTTTTGTTATTTTACCTACGTGACTTTACCGAAAGAACCAAAGAGTATGGATGTCCAGTAGTTCACAGATGTCCAGTCGCACACCAACCCCCCCCCCCCCAGCTGATGGTGGCTGGGGGTGCAGTTCTCAATCGAAACAAACGCCGTTCCCGATGGCTTGACCCTCCTTTGATAGGGCGCTCGCCAGCAGGACACTTCGCCCTCGCCATAGGAACGTGGAATTACCACCACTGGCTCAGGGCTGTAAACAAGGAGATGAGTAGCGAGGCGCCCCCTTTGCTCGATTGCGCAGGGAATCATTTTGAGCAGCGCACTTGCACAACATTTGCAACTTTCACGGCTTTGAGAACATTCTGTGCCAAGCAGACGTGTGAACCGTGTGCTGTTCATGTGTGTTAGATCTACTGCGGGGTGATGTCCATGCGCCCTGCCGTGGCTCTCTTGTGCCTGTTCTCATCTGTTTATACGTCAACATATAGCATTTGACGTTGTATAATCGTATACAGTGTGTGTGTGTGTTGTAGATTCAAACACGTTTGTGTGCATGCCACTGGAGGTGTTTGCCGCGGTGTCACAGCAAATAGACTCAAATGTTTTTTGTTATTTCTGAAAATATCTTACCTGCGAGATGGAATGTTTCATCTGCAAGGGTGTCCAACTGATATGTTCCATACCTAGGGAATTGGTATTGTCACGAGGCCGTGTGCCTACAGGATAGCGGGGTTTAAAGTAGTACTTACTACGTCCTATGGCTTGTGGCTCAGAAACATGGTCATGAATGAAACAAATATAATAAATAATAATATAGAAGAAGACTATGCAAACAGGCGTAGAGTGAGGCATGCTGCGAGTTACTTTGGGAGACAGAAAGACGAACACGTGGATTAGGTATACACGGGTTAATGGCATCATCTATTAAGAAATATAAACCAAAACTAAGCTAAACTATTGTTATTTTTCTACGTCAGGGCCACTTAGCTATGTAGCTCTTATTCAGAAGCGACCTGGCCACAGATGATAGCCCAACAAAGTGGCTTATCATGTGGAAATTTATAGCAGCCAACTACTCTAAACGCATGTTCCTAAATGTGGAGGGAAAAACCGCATGTTCCTAAATGTGGAGGGAAAAACCGCAGGACCCGGAGAAAAATGAATACGACCACGAGGAGAGAGAGAGAGAGAGACGCAAACTCCACATATACAGCAGGCGTCAGTGTCGAGATCGAACCCATGGCCTCTTGTATACCGGACGAAGTAGTTAACATCTCGCCACCGTGGCACCTGCCTCAAATCTAAAGGGGCGATGGTCAAGAATAATAACGGAGCAGTAGAGCGAGCGGCTCGCGATCGAAAGGTTGCGAATTGGAATCCTGTTTGGGGGGGGGGGGTGGATTTAGTCTCTCCATCATCCATCCTCCCTCCGGTGTGTCGATGCAATTGGTACTATTTCGTGGGGGAATGTCGACAGTTGTCGTCTTGTGGAAAGATTCGCCCCTGCCATAGGAATGGGGAATTACCACCACTAGCTCAGGGCTGTCAATGGGAGATGAGCACTGCCTTTGTGCTCGTTTGAGCATAAATCACTGTGACTTTTGAATCGCGGTTGTGATGGAGTTGGCCCTTGGCCTTGTGTCCAGGCCCCAGAGTCAACAGAGCATTGTCTGACACGGGAGATGAGTCAACACAACACATTATGCTATTCCTAGGATGATGTCACCCTATGTCCCGAGCACAATAGAGCAGTAGCAATGCGGGTTGGCGCTGCGCTACGGAGACCCGAGTTTGGTTCCCGCTCATGACGAACGCCAGTGACGCTTATCTGAACCGGTCCTGGGTCTCCCCTATGTCGACTCGGCCTCAACTGAGTACCTGATAGTGGTGTATAAACATCATAAATTGGGAGATAAAGGCGGTCGGGCGTGGTGCTGGGAGTGCCGTGGGGTTGGTGGTGAGCTGCAGATGGCAGTGCAATTGTTACACGTGTATATGCTCCCCGTACGAACCCATTGAGGTTGGTGAAACATGGTCAAATAACCCTTCACGGCCTGCACAGGTGTGTGGAGGAGGCCCACGTTTGCCATCTAGCAGTGGAGTGACTACAAGGGCTCTTGAATGTGGTAGGACTCGCAAGCCAAGCCGCGTCTTCTTGACCGACACGCTGAAGTGTAATACAAGATACCTTTGGCCGACTCGGTGAAACATCCAAAAAGTTCCCGTGGCCAAAATACAAACATTCAGAACCCATGGAGGTTCATTGTGGGGTTTTTTTTCCTTAAATATATCGCAGCAAATTGACGGTCGTATTTCCCGAAGCACCGAATTTATAGTTACAGAAAGGTTAGAAAGGAGACGTTTATTAAGCAAATTGGCATCGTCCCCAGGGTTTAATGATGCTGCGGTGAAATGTTGATTTAAAGCTTTCGTGACTGCAGGGATTCATATTCTTGGTTCTTTCGGTAAAGTCACGTAGAAAGGAAATAATAAAATAATAAAAATATAAAAAATGCAAATTCTCACGACGTTTCGACTGCAACACAAGCAATCTGATGATGATTATTTTTAATTTCCCTTCTACGTGACTTTACCGAAAGAACCAAGAATATGATGCTGCGGTAGTTTAATTGTTTGGCAAACTGGGTGTGCAATCCCGGCGGTTCGATTCAATCTCCCAACGGCGGCAGTTGAAGCAACGGTGCGAGTTTCAAACATCTTCGCCCAACGCCTCTGTCCACCCAGCAGTATAAGACGTCCGTAGGCCACAGTTAGTCGATCGGCAAGGCAGCCGTGTGGTGGGGCAAAATATTTAGCGGTGCCCCAAGCTCTTCCAAGACGTCTGGCCGGCGTGTAAGAGCAGGCCAAAATACGCCCGTCTAGATTGGCGCGTGTGGAGTTCCCTCTCGTGGGAGGCCCTAGCGCCAGCAGTGGCGTGAGCGGGCAATTGCAGGGCTGCGCCTTTGCCCAGCTTTCGTAAAACTTGGCGAGCTGGCCAGGCCCTCTAGGTGTGTCGCGTTGGGAGTGCTGTTCTGACTCAGCCCAACTGCGTGAGGCATAGCTGTCTGCTGAGTAAGTGCAAACATATTATTCTTAATCTTATGCCTAGAATGACTTCATCGGTTTGTACGATGTGTGTGTATGGTTTCGGCACTGTAGCTTAAATGGTTGCACGATGAGTAGTGGTCATGTTTAACACGTAGGCTTTCGCGACCAATATTCATAATAAAGGTTTTTGGGTGTCGTAAATTTCGCGTGCCATTCAGACTCTGCCTTCTCGACAGACCTGTTCTCCACCTGAAGACGGCTGCTTGCGTTGTGGCCGAAACGTCGTGAGAATGATTTTATTATGTTTTATTTTTATTATTTTATTATTTTCCTTCTACGTGACTTTACCGAAAGAACCAAAAAAGATATGTGTCGATAACCCTCCTTCTACCCGACACAGCCAATTAGTAAGTGGTTATGTGTGTTAAAAAAGCCGAAGTAAAGAGGTTGTGGTCAGGTCTGAAATATAAATTAAATTCAGCCATTTCTCAATCCACCAATGGATGAGGGCCTCTTCATGCCGTGTCGCCGTATGTTTTTTTTTTTACCGAACGTCACCACGCTGACACCATTGGAACCTCCTTTGCCAGTAGCAATATATTATAATAGTTTTTTTTACCCATTTATCTGGCAACAAAACGGACACTTTTTTTTACAAGGAGTCATGTTTGCATTGACCACAATACCTGCGGTCGGAATGCAAACAAAAAAACACACAACTCTGATAATTCACCACGCTGGTCAGTGTGGATTGGTAGTGAAGGTTGGAGCAGGTAGGGTTAGGACCGGTTTTGATATCACTCACCACTGATGTCAACCGCTCGCTGGTGGCCTGGCATCAAACTCGGGTTGCCAGGGTCTCTAGCGCGGCGTGCCAACCAACCACTGCGCTACCTCGCCACCGCTGCCGTGGTTTTAAATTGACGACAAAAAAAAAACATTGAACTGATGCGCGAAAAAATCCGATCGCATGTGCGCGGGACGGGCCAGACGTTGGGAGATTAACTAGCGTTCGCGCGAAACGCCAATTCCAAACAAAAATAATAGAGCCGGGCAGAGAAAACAAAAGATATTGTCCACTTTGTGTATTTCAACAACTAAAAATTTCTGACCCCCCCCCCCCAAAAAAAGCCGGAAGAAGGAACGGGGGAGCGGAGTTCACGATTGGGAGGAAAACGCAGTGGGGGGGGGGGGGTGGTTGCGCGTGCGTCTCTGCGTGTCTCTCCGCGTCTCCGCGAGGCATTTGCAGCGGGCATCTGTCACCGTCGCTCCCGGCGGGAACGTTTATTTCAGGGAGGGGAAAAAACAGGCGGAAGAGCACGTCATGCTAGAATGTTCATTGCGCCGTTACCCCCTCCTCCCCCCCCCCCCCCCCGATTAAAGCTGAGCGAAGGCACGTGGATGACGACGGCGGTAGTTAAAGCGAGAGGAATACACGTCCTGAGAAGAATCACATTTAAAAAAAAAAATCGGGAAAAATATAGCGCCAGGGGAGAATCGTTTGCGTGCGCGCGTGTTGGTTCGGACTTGGTCGCGGTCTCTTAGCCACCCGTTAACGTGGTTTCTAAGGGGCCGTGGTATCGCTTTACATGATCGTTGTGGTTGACGGCGGTGAGTAAAGTCTGTCTTTGTGTTAATATCGAATGCAAAAGTAATTGTATTTTACCGTAGTCTCTGGATTATGAGATGCCCCTTTTCCTCACCACATGTAATTTTAAGCAATAGTTGACGGTGCGTCTTTTGATCCAGTAGATGTGCGTGTGCGCGTGTGTCTGTGTTTGAGACCAAATTCGTGATGCTTTATTTGACCCCAGCACAAGCGTGCGTTGAGGTCTTACTTTCCGGAGCGTCTTATCATCTGTAGAATGTGGTAATTTTTTTTTTGTTTACTTCATTTGTGCAGTCTCTTGTCCGTTGTGTGTCACTTGTACCGGCTCGTCTTGTTAATTGGCTTTAATTTAACACGTGCTTAGTTTGCACAATATATTTGCTGCATTCCTCGCACTGTTCCCACTGTTGAACTCCCTCGCCATCGTCTCTTTTCCCAAACTCTCATCGTGACCTCGCTCAATTCAAGCAACTCGTTGCACTCGATCTGTTGCAACTTCTCACGGTGCTGTTTGTTGCTGGCCTGCTGGCCGTTGTGGCAACCGTGTGAAGTTTTTTTTGTAATCGTAAATAATCTATTCTTGTCATAGATTACGTTACTGCATTGTCGTCAACAGTATATGTTATTATTTGTTTTCCCAAGACAGTCTCCCCTGAGTCTCAAGACTCGTATTGGGAGAGGGTCCTTTCAGCTTATGTTGAAGTACCCTGTGAGCTAATAAGCTCTTAAGTCTGGTGTCATCAATACAATCACACCATTTCCGTGACGGTTATAACACATCAGATATAAAATAAATGAATCGTACAAATGAGAATAAATGAAAAATGTAAGAAAGCATATCATTTCAAATATAAAATGTATCTTTTAAAAGTTTTTTGCTTAGTAAGGAATGAAAAAAAGATTCAGCATATAAGTGCCAGTGGTAAAACACACCATTTCCCAAGAAACACTGAATTTAAATCTGCAATTTAACAAAAATTCAAACTGCGCCATCACCGACAACGACGTTGCACTGAGCAAAAAACAGCATCGTTGCAACAACAAAAAAGAGTAGTGCAGACAAGGCACAGGAAGACGAAAGAGGTCACTTACAGGCAAACGATGTCTGCACCTCGCCTCGTTTCTCACATTGTAGGGGACGACGTTGCCATCGTCCCAGTCGAATCACATCCTGGCGCTGTTACATTTCCAGCGTTGACATTATTTGGCCAACGGCAGCCGCACGCTACATTTTGTTGGGGTTTTTTTTTTATGTGCGAACGCCAAAATGTATTTTAATTGAAAACAATTTTTTTTGTTGCGTTTAGTTTTGTTGTCCTTACCCCGCACATCCGTTTAACACGGTTGGCTACGTACGGTGCGAAAGAAGTTCTGCGGCCTACATACATACACGTACTACGATCCATCATCTCCTTCATCAACCCACACTGACCACACTACACGTACAGCAGCACCCTTTGTCAATCCACTGTTAGACAAGGCCATGAATAAGGCTGTCTCTGGTGTAGCTTTCGCTACGTTGTCCCCACCTGAAGAAGGATGCTTGAGTTGCGCCCGAAACGTCGTGATTTAATTTCGTTATTTCATTAAATTTTTTACCTACATGATTTTACCGAATAAACCAAAGAGAATGCATATATTCTAATTATAATCAGAGCATGTTTATTTGCATGTTTTGCCACAAGCACTGTATGTGGTTAGTGCAGACGGAATGCCTTGCAAAATGTATCTATTTGGTGTTTTAACATCTTAACGCCTGTTTTATTGCCAGAAAGGGTTAAACCTATTTTTCACACGCTTTTATTTAACTCACTCTGTCTGTTGTTGTCGTTGTCGTATCCTCAAATCTTGTAACTCAGTTTTAACCCACTTCCCAATGTGGTATCGACTGCAAACTTGGTATACTTATGTCATACTGATGACAATACTATATTCTATCATAAAAAATAAAAAAAAATATTTTTAAACCATCTTTTTTATATGTTATATTTCGCCTTGGCTCTAATTGTCCACGCTCAACTGACGTTGGCTGTAAATCACCACGGCCCCTCACGTTATGGCAAGCCTCGGGGCCACTTCCTGGAGTCGTGGAGTTCTGCCATTACTCGTACGGTACATTTCATTAAAGCGTGTTTAAAAAAAAGTATTTTTAAATATTACTTATTTATTTCACTGTAGCTCCCCGCACCGTACGGATCGTGTGGGCGTGCGGAGGGAGGGAGTTACTTTACCATACTACATCAAGCTGAGCAGTGTGGGCGGGTGTGACGGTGGCAAAGCGCAGAAGTCAAAATCAGAATATTTGTTTATACTGGAGGAATCCGATGATGTCCAGGGGCAGGTCAAACCGAATAACAACAAACAATATAAAAACACGATAGGAGTGCAAAGTATAGGAATGATCAATCATCTTCTTGGTTATTTCGGTAAAGTCACGTAGAAGGGAAGTAATAAAATATTAAAAATATAATAAAATAATTCTCACGACGTTTCGGCCACAATGGCTGCTTGCGTTGTGGCCGAAACGTCGCGAGAATTATTTTATTATATTTTATTTTTATTATTTTATTACTTCCCTATTACGTGACTTTACCGAAAGAAGCAAGAAGATGAATCCCTGCAGTCACGAAAGCTTTAAATCGAAATATGATAAATCACTTAAAATTAACAAAGACAACTAAACTATTCAAGTTCAACATGCATACGCACGCAATCGATGAATCGTCCCGTTGCGTGCGTGTTGCAGGAGGCGCGAGCTCATCACCTGTCCGATTCCGCCGCGTCGGAGCGGAGATCGCGGAGTGACGGCGTGAACTCTCCCGCGACGGCGCTAGCGGCGGCGGCGACTGCAGCGTACGACGCGATGGCGACGCGCACGCTCGTGCTGGTGCGGCACGGCGAGGGCTCGTGGACGCGCGAGAACCGCTTCTGCAGCTGGGTCGACCAGCCGCTGAGCGCCGAGGGCGAGGCTGAAGCGCGCCGTTGTTCGCGCCTCCTCACGGCCGCAGGGATCCGCTTCGACGCCGCCTTCTCCTCGCTGCTGACGCGCGCCATCAAGACCGCCTGGATCATCCTGGAGGGCGTCGGCCAGGCCTGGGTGCCGCTGGCGCACAGCTGGCGCCTCAACGAGCGCCACTACGGCGCCCTCGTCGGCCTGAACCGCGCGCAGCTGGCGCTGAACCACGGCGAGGAGCAGGTGAAGGCGTGGCGGCGCGCCTACGACGTGCGGCCCCCGCCCATCGACGAGGGGCACCCCTACTTCGACGAGATCCACGGCGACCGGCGCTACGCGAGCTGCGACGTGCCGCGGGGGAAGATCCCGCGCGGCGAGTCGCTTCGCGACGTGCTCGAGCGCCTGCTGCCCTACTGGGAGGGCAGCATCGTGCCCGAGCTGCGCGCCGGCAAGAACGTGCTGGTGTCCGCGCACGGCAACAGCGTCCGCGCCATCATCAAGCACTTGGAAGGTGGGGGGGGGCGATGGGCGGCTTTTGGGGGTTGGTAGGGTGTCAGTTTGTTCCGGGTTCTCGCGCGAAAAAAAAGGCCTGTGCGTGCGTGCGTGTGTGCTTTTGTCAAAGTGCACCTGGCCTGGCACAGGCGGCGTGGAAACATCACCCGTCACTTAGTGGCGAATGGCGGCTGTTGATTTTGTTGTCTCGATGAATCAGGAGGCGCGCACTTCCGAGGACCCCTCTGTAGACTGATGTTTGGGGTTGCTCCCAATTTTTTAAAATTAATCTGAATATCGGACCTAGATGGAACATTTTGATGATCCGAAAAAATGTTTTGCTTCGGATTGATCGGAAAACTAGAAGTCACTAATTTGACATCACTTCCATGCTTTTATCACCAATAGGTATTTACATATCCTTCGTATTAGAATTCGGAGAATACAGAAATTGTATTTTCTTAACTTCCACCATTCTCCACTCGCGTTTCTCCCTCCCTGCCTCCCTCCCCTCATGGACAAGCGCCTAACTGCTTGTCCCTCTCCCCTCCTAGGGAAGAATTCCCGCTCCCTACCGCAACACACATTTCCCTGATTTTTCTGTCGACAAGCTGCACTGGCTGGAAACCTGGCAGATGTGCGGCCATTGTGCGGGACAAAAACTTGTTTTCGTGCGATTTCAATCTGGACAAAAAACTCGCGCCAGGCAGCTGCCTCCCGTGAAAACACGCATGACCTCGAGTAAATCATTGGCTCATCGCCGTCTGCAATTTCATCCGTGTCCATGTGACCCACTTACGTGTGTTCGGGTTTTAGCGCTTCGCAGCGAAGGCTGAGAGCGTCTATGCACGAGCTCTGGCCGTCAATTCTCTCCGTGAATAACACCGAAGGGGTGGTGGGGGGAGGGGTACTATAACTTTTGCTGGAGTCGATCTGATGTTTATGGAGTTTTAGTGCAGAGTCACGTTGCTGTTAAGTGAGTTGCCCAATGGACAACGGAGTCGATCTGATGTTTATGGAGTTTTAGTGCAGAGTCACGTTGCTGTTAAGTGAGTTGCCCAATTTGACAACTGGCAACATCGATAAAAAGCGTTACCCAAAGGTTGCAGGACGCGAACCAGAACAATAGGGACTGCATGAAAATTGGATGACTCCCACCTTGTCACGAGCCTCTCGCTCCACCTACAGTCGCGAGCCTTCACTTCGTCATCACCGCCATCTGAACCCCGGCCCCTGTCGCGAGTTGTGTGTGCGCGTCACAAAAACGGCGCACCATCGCCGCTTGCCGTTGCTGCCCGGGCGCAGGCATCAGCGACGCGGACATCCTGCACCTGACCATCCCCACGGGCGTCCCTGTCGTGCTGCAGCTCGATGACGAGCTGGCGCCGGTAGGCGAGCGCCGCTACCTGGGCGACACGGCCGAGATCGCCGCCGCCATCAAGCGCATCGAGGACCAGGGCAAGGCCCCCAAGGGGGCCACCGCGTCGCCGGATCCCCGCGGCGCCGTAGTCGCCGCCACTGCCACCACGGCCGCCGCCTGCCCCACTCCCTAAGCCGTTTGTATCGTATCCTGGAATATTGTTTGTTCCTTTCTTCGGAACTATGCGTCGTGGAGAATGGCTCTTCTTGTTAAGTTATGTAATATTTTATTTCGTCTCGCCCAGCCCAGCCCAGCACGCCACCTTCGTTCATGGGCATGGTGGGGGGGAGGCGTGTGTTTAGTGTTGTTTTGTTGTTTTGTTATATCGTTACTGTTACAGGTGACTCTGTTACAACAACCGGCTTTGCCGTTTTCTCCGAAATATAAGACTGCTCTGGAAAATAAGACGTATCCCCCAAAAACTTGTGCCCAGTGTCACTAAAATTGAACAAAGACAACACACACATCTATCGGATGATGAGACGCACCCCCAACTTTTTCTTTAATATGCAGGGACGAAAAGCGCGTCTTATTATCCGAAGAATACGGTATTGTCCAACTCTTGCAATGCATGTAATTCTGGAAATGTACACATTTTAAATCTGTCCCAGAAATACAAAAATTGGACCTCGAGACCAAATTTCCGGTCCGACTAGTAAAATATATTCGGATCGATATAAATACGAGAAGTCGCGTGGAGTGACGTCGCGTTTAATGACGCCGTTTGCGGCTCTCTCCCTGCCAAGGGTGGCGTCACGCGGCATCGAGTGACGTCACTTTATTACACTTTATTAGCACAAAGTCGCGGTTTTATACTTACTATTTTATTTACCAGGTAAAGCCCACTGAGCTATGAGTGTTAAATTATCACGGCATGCGAATGATACGAATGCATGAAGAAAATAATTCAATCTGAAGTTATCCTTAAAAAATTACAACTTCTTGAATATGAAGCTCATCCCCAACTGTTAGCGCTATCAGAGGTGAGCGAATGTGTTGTGGTGGTCATCTGTACCATCTGCTGACGTGTGGTGTTGAAGCTGAACACGCTAGCAGGGTGAGTGACCCAGCCCAGAGTTGGTAACAATCGGTGTATTTCCGTTTCCGGTAAAAACCGAATGATAAAAACCCAGTAAACACCGCCTACCGGTTTGTCGCACATACAGAGCTGTCCCGGGAAATACAAATAACACTTTTACCTTTTTTCGCTGGAAACGTAGAGAGCTGGTCACAGTGGTGTAACGATCGGCACACTGGAATTGCAATCCAGAGGTCACCGCTTTGATCATCCAACCTCATAAATCCCCCGGCAGCTTTCCACCCAGCGGTATAAAAAAAATTAACCCGTAAAAACAAAGTTTTTCACTATAAATCCTTTATATGCGTGGCATCGGGGTGGCTAGAGTCCTCTCGTCCTCTGGCTTGAGATGGCTGCCACCTATGGGTCAGATGATTGCCTGCCACCATTAAGCAATTGGTAATTAAATATAATTTTTTTTCCTAAAAAGTGTAAAATTTTGGGAAAAAAATTTCACGAAAATAAATTGTCACGCACAACGAGTCTGTGTGCAAAATGTCAGCTCGATTGGATCACGGGAAGTGGGTTGAAAAACGACCGAAAGATTTGCACGGTCGTAAGCACGCAAGCAAGCAAGTGAACTTAATATAAAGGATTTAAAAACGTTGCACCGCAGTGAGTTGATCAATAGCTTGCATATGGTGGGATGAAGTGTGGGTACTCTCACATCTTCCAAAACATCTGGCCAATATGGAAGAGTTTAGCACGTAGGCTTTTGCAACCAATATTATCCATAAAGAGAGGTGTTTTTTATTTAGGACCGAAACAGGAGGATTTCTCCACAACTCTGGCTGTCGCCTGATGATGCTGGTTGTAGTTACTGGCGAAACGTCGTACTCGAATTGTAAATGTTTTTAGTTTACTCTCTAACACACCGGTGTGCTGTACTAGTAACGACACCTCGAGGCAAAACTGTGGCCTCTCTCTAATAGTTCCTGCCCTGCAGACATGCGAAGATGCCACCATGTACCAAAAGGTTCCATCGAAAGTACCAGTAGGCAGTCCAAAATTATGTTTACAACTTAAAAATTCCATCTATTTTTATATCTTATATACACTAGCTTTACGGTCTCGAATAAGTAGTCATTATCGTCTCTCTTTGGCTGCCCTAAGTCTGCTGAGGCTAGGTCTTGGAGGTCACTGTGTGTCTCCTGCACGGCAGCGGTGGCATCTTGCGGAGAGGGTTGATGGCGTTTCGCGAGGTTCGGTGGCAACTGGATAGACTCTAAACGTATTGGTATTTTCTTTTACCTATTAGCATTTTTATGATCTCTTAAAATATAATAAACTAAACTTAAAACTATTTTAATTTTACCAGGTAAAACCCACTGAGCTTTCTAGCTCTCTTTTTCATGAGCGACCTGGCCACAAATGATAGCTCAACGAAGTGGCATATCATCAGGGTTGGGATCGAACACACGACCTTCTGTATACCAGGCAAGGTAGTTAACATCTCGCCACCGCAAGATGTAATAACGTCATGCAGATTTTTTTTATGTCGTTTAAAACCCTTTATTTGCAGTTGTGAAGAGTTAGAGGTAGTGGTGGCAGCTTCGGCAGGCCTTCGTTCATCTAGCAGTGGACTGATCATGGCTGATGATGGTGGCGATATCTTTGAACTTGGCATCAAAGGGAATATTGTATGCGGTAGACCCCTTCTATCCAACAGTTGTTGTAACAGAGTTTTAATATTTCATGCAGGTGTTGACGTAACACGTCAAAAAATCGTTATTTAAGGAAGTTTTTTTTTTACTTAAAATGTTTTCGCCTAGTTTTATACTGATTTTGTGCTATTGGCGTAATAGATCCCTTGGTGTTAAGAGAACGGGCCCACAGAAGTGGATATTGCAGAGCTACCTCTGAGATCGCTTCAAGTTACGTCTGGTCCACACGTTAAGCGGGGGGCGGGGGGGGGCCCCAGCACTTTCCCACCCCACTCTGCCACTGCGCGTCATTTAAATTTCGCAAATCGTCAACGTCAGTCGCGCGATCGTAAATGGTGGCGCGCGATTGGCCACGTTCCCCTCGTGACTTGGTCTCACGCTGATCAGCTGATGGTCTCGGGATATTTTGAGTCGACTGCTGGCAAACTTTTGACAGGGCACGCGTCGTGCGCTTTAACTGTGCGTGAGGTTTCTACAAGGAACTCTCACCACAGGGCACTTGAGCCTGAATTGAGAGCACTTAGGGATGATCGGTGTAAGCAGGGAAGGACACATCAGAGATTTTGCTCCACGTAGGAAAAAGGAGCAGCCCTCCTGTGGCTTCTCTGGTGTCAGGTCAGAGGTTTGGTACCTCTTAGATCTCTGGTGTCAGGTCAGAGCTTTTACCTCTGGATATCTCTTATCCTCTTGGTCGCAATCTGTCACCATGCCAGATTGATCAATCCCCCGACCCCCCAGTCCCCTCTCCCGTGGTCTCCATAGCCCCCCCCCCCCATCCACAGCCTCCCCTCAACCTGTGGCTTCGGATCCACACACGGCTCCTTTTAAGGACCCCGCTTCGTGACGTTATTGCGGCTCTTAAAATTCGGGGAAAAGAAAATCTAAAGTAGCTCCCTTGTTATTTTGGATCCTGACCCCCTTGCCACACACACAAAACCGCCTCCCCCCTCCTCGTTTTTGCCGGTGGAACAGACCCCCCCCCCCCCCCCCGGCAAAAATAAATGCAACCTTCTCTGTGTCGTGTGCACACCGATAGTTTTGCGGGAGCACGCGACGCTGCCCACCGTGACGGCCGCGGTGAGATTGCGCCGTTGCGCCCAAGGTCATCATCTCAAGCGGGATGTTTTAACGCTTCAAGTTTTTTCTTCCCCCTTCGTCCGAAAATCGCAGAGCTTTTGAATGTATACAGTTTGTATGCATTTACGTGTAGTTGTGTAGGTGTGTTTTATACGTACGTATGTTGATTGCATGGGTATTCGCTACGATATAGCTGATAAGTCTGTTACTAGCTGTCTCGCGGTATATATATCATGTAGTCCATGATGTCCTGGAAGTTTCAGATTGCATTGGATAGACGTATCATCCACTGTGTTGTGTCCGTGCGTGTGTGCCACAATACATTGCCGTAGCAGAGTGACGTTCACGAATTTCATTTACGGTCAACGTAGGAAGTCTTATCGTAAACAATATGGTTTGTGTCTTAGCCTTGCTGACATCATTCGCAGCTACGTGGGTGAATGTGAATTCAAGCATTTAGTGCGACAGCGGAGTTTTAATATTCTTAAGTGTCTTTGCGATGAATTCAGTTCATGTGCAGGTGCGAGGTGGATTCGTTTCACGGGATTGTAAGAGGCGGCAGTGGCTTGGCGAGGCCTTCATCCAGCAGTGGATTGACCGTAGCTGATGATTGCTGACCTGCCCATGATGGACATCTGTGAACAAGTATAACCCGTAAAAACAAAGTTTTTCACTATAAATCCTTTATATGCGTGGCGGCTAGAGTCCTCTCGTCCTCTGGCTTGAGATGGCTGCCACCTATGGGTCAGATGATTGTCTGCCAGTATTAAGCAATTGGTAATTAAATATTTAATTTGTTTTCCCTAAACAGTGTAAAATTTTGGAGAAAAAAAATTCACGAACATTAATTGTCTCGCACAACGAGTCTGTGTGCAAAATGTCAGCTCGATTGGATCACGGGAAGTGGGTTAAAAAACGACCTAAAGGTTTGCACGGTCCTAAGCAAGCAAGCAAGCACGCAAGTGAACTTAATATAAAGGATTTAAAAAGAGCTCTGTAGCTCGTTGGATTTCCTCCTGCAGTCTCAATAAAGATTCTCAATTCTGATGATTTCCGCTAGAATTGGCAGTTTAAATTTCCGGGGGGGGGGGGGGGGGAAGAAAAATCCCCGAGGGAATGATCTAAATCATTATCAAGACAATGCGTGGGCAGCAATTGCAGCGCTGGACCTTTGCATATATTTTTTTAGGATTCCGTTTAACAGCGAGTGTGTCAGTGAAGCTGAATTCAAATTTACGTGGAGATTAAAACGAGCGTTGGAGCCAATACTTGAGAAGATAATTGGTCGGTGTTTCATCCCGTAACGAGCCATTTGCATTTCGTTACTAGTGTTATTTTGGAGATGTTACATAAACTGAAACATTGTGTGGAGTCTTCTGAAATGGGATGTATACTTAACCAAAGGAAGGCAATGTGTTATTAAGACGTTTTTACGAAGTTTTTGCCCTTTCAAAACTACCATTTGGAAAAGTGTGAATGATTAATGATTTAATGTTTATCATCATTGTTTGGAGAATGAGTTCCGTCATCACCCAAATCCAACAATATAAGTTTCACAATTCACTACTTATATCACTCAATAAAATCTGTGCCGAAACGTTTATGGCTTTGCGATTATGTTTTCCCTGCTCTTGAACAGCACGGTGTGTTTCTGCCCATTGCGAATAGGTGTAACCAGCCTTCATCCAGCAGTTGATTGACCATGACTGATGATGACGACGACGACGATGATGTGAAGAGGTCTTCCTACGTCTCAGAGTGACGACCCCCATCGCCATGCTCGCGTTCAGATTCTTTCGAGTACAGCCGGGACGAGTCCTTGATGGGTACTACTGATCGACTAAGATTTTTAATCGGCTACTTTTTTAGTGACGACCTCCCCGACATCCTGCCTCCCGAACCCGAAGGAGGGAAACCCCCTACAAGCCCCGCCCAGCATGACGCTGCTGAGGATGATGATGACGTCACTGAGGCCCGCCCGTCTCACCTCCCGTCCAGCTGCACACGTGAGAACACAACCTCCTCAAACGAAAGTAGAACACCGTAATACGCACAGGTTTGATGTGTTCAAAGCAACGCATTTTTCGTTTCCGCACGCTTTTTTTATTTGTATTTTTTTCCCCTCGCCTTCGTGTATATACAGTACAACTTTAAATACAACTCCGATCTCTTTTTTTTGTTGTTGTTAAATCTCGCATTTTTTAAACCAATTATTTCACAATTTGTGCTGTCAGCATCTAGGCACAAAGTGAAGTTTTAGATTTTATTGAAAAATAAGACAACCCCCTCCCCCCCTCACATTGCATTGTGGATTGATCTAGAAGTGACCAAGGCCTCGATTCAATATCCTTGTACGTCCGCTCACACCGCACCCTTCTGCCCTCATGCGATTCGACCACCAGCACCGCCTCCCTCTTCTTCAAGCTGACCAAAGACAAAGATCCCCCGTGTAGCCTCAACAGACTGTTGGGGAAAGTGCTGCTGTTAGCGGGCACCTATGAAGACCGGCACTGTGGCACACGAGACGGGGCGGGTGGCCATCACCGCGCCCGGCCGCCTTTGTCTCCCCAGGGGTGATGTTCACACACCGCACCAGGTGCTCATTTGAGGCTGAGTCGAACTAGGGGAGGTCCATGACCGGTTCAGATAACCGTCGCCGGGTTCGTAGCGCAACGTGCCAACCGCTACAAAATACCGCTCCCCTAAGTTGACCACCACCACTTATCACCGCCGCTATCCTTCCTCCAGTATAAATAAATATTCTGATTCTCCCGCCCCTCGTTCATTAAGCCCTCAAAACTGGCCATTCGTCACTAAATAAATAACACCTCCTTCCCACAATCCATTGGCCACATGGCGGCCTTGTGGGAGTGCATCTTTATCAGCAGCCACGACATTCGTATCGTCCGGATTTTCACGATTATCGTCACGCCGTGATTGTCGCTGCTCGATTTAAAATAATACTTTTTTTTTTTTTTACGGACAAGATACACCAAATAATGTCACAATTAATAAATAACGCTTTTCCAGAGTAACTGACGAGGTGGGGCTTACCCAGGGCCGTCCATGGGGTTGGTGGGGTGTGCGGGCCCCCCCCCAGATGCCTTCAAACTACACCGGAAGTATTACGTCTGACGCCGTGACGTCGAAGCGCGAGGGGGGGGGGGCCCAAAGCGCAGGGCCTGGGGCAGTCGCCCCGATTCGCTGTGTACCCTCGGGACGGCTCTGGGCGTGCCCACACTTTTCCAGATCGCACGTGACCTGCCGACGGACTAACTGCGGCGTAGATGTTTTAAACCACTGGGTGGACGGACGCAGCGGAAGGGGGATCCCAGAAACGATTTCCCGCTCTTTCAACTGCCGCGCTGGGAGATTGAATCGAACCGGCGACCTCTGGCTTGCGCGTCCGGTGTGCGACCCGAGGCAGCGCCGCTGTGGCAGCTCTTCTCCAAATGGCTCGCACGATGGTCGAATTTGACACTCGGGGAATTGGTGTACGCTCGGGGTTTAACTCGGCAGCCTAAGTTAACCGAATGTGTAAATGGCGAGACAACCCCCGTTGTTACAGAAATGTAGCGCAGGCTGGAAAACCCAGAAGGCTTTTTAAAAAACGTGCAACGACGTCTACAAAAGCACTCGGCCTTTGTGCTTTATGCAAAAACTTTCAGCAGTTCCTGAAGTACTGCGGTGTGGTCCTCTCGTCTTAGCTGCTGTAGGAGCGGCTGTAGAAGCAGCAGCAACCGTAGGAGCAGCAGCAGCTGTAGGAGCAGCAGCAGCTGTAGGAGGAACTAGGAGCAGCAGAAGCTGTAGGCACAGCTGTAGGAGCAGCAGCAAATATTGGAGCAGCTGTAGAAGCAGCAGCAGCTGTAGGAGCAACTGCAGGCGCGGCAGCTATAGAGCACCAGCAACTGTAGGAGCAGCAGCTGCAGGAGCAGATGTAGAGCAGCAGAAACTGTAGAGCACCAACAACAGTAGGAGCAGCAGCTGCAGGATCAGCTGTGAGCACCAACAACTCTAGGAGCAGCAGCAGCAGCTGTAGAAGCGACTGTAGTAGGAGCAGCAGCAGCAGCTCCAGGAGCAGCAGCAACTGTGGGAGCAATTGCAGGAGCAGCAGCAGCAGCAGCTGCTGTGTTCACAGCGGCCAGGGCAAGTCGCTGAAGTCCACGGGACCCCCGAGGCCAGCGTCGGCCTCCAGCAGGCTCATGATGACCGCCATGGCCGCCTCGTCGTTGCTGGGACTGCTTGAGCCGTCCATGAGGTACAGGTCCAGCGAGGGGTTGTCACCTGCGAGCAACAGAGATCGTGGTCATCGTCATCATCTTTCACCAACGTGGACTCAATCGGTCGATTCGGAAGAGGAAGAACAGCTGGATTGGGCAGGTGAGGGAGGTGATTGGGCAGGTGGTAGGTGGGATCTGTGGGGTCGGTGGGATCGGGGTCGGGATCGGTGGGGTTGGTGGGATCTGTGGGTTCAGTGGGGTAGGTGGGGTCAGGGTCGGTGAGATCTGTGAGGTCGGGTGGGGTCGTTGGAGTCGGTGGGGTCGGGTCGCACTCACTGATGGGGCCACCACTGTAAGGGTTGCTGCTGTCGGCTCCATTCATCGAGTTTGAAGGAGACTGCATGGCCAGTGCTGAACCCTGAATGCACACACAGACAAAGATCCCCCGTGTAGCCTTTTACAAGCCGTTGGGGCAAGTGCCGATAGCCTGCGAGTAGCGGGCGTGATGATCGCTGCGCTGTACGTACGCTTAACTTCTTTTGCACCGTACGTAGCCCACCGTGCTAAGCGGTGGGACGGGAAATCCCAATTGTGTAATCCCAATTGAGCAATTTGCGATTCACTCGTCAAATTCATCAAATTTGCACCGTGACGCCAGCACGCAGCGGGCCCCGCTCCTTTCCAACGGCATCGTTGGACCCGGAACGCCCCACCGCACGGCGGATGGCGAGCGGCGTCGCCCGCATTAACCAGGGCGGCCAGCCGGGCACGGAACCGCAAACCACCGAGGACAAGCGGCAAACGCGCCGACCCGCCGGGCCGCCCGCGTCACCGCCGCACGTGCCGTGTTTACGCGACCGCGCCGTGCAGCTGCGGCGTTGCTGCCGGGTGGCGCGCCGGAAGCGGCTGACCTTGCGGTTCCCGGGTGACATGGCATCGGACGGCGGAGGGGTGGCGAGCTGCAGGGGACTGGAGCCGCAGCTGGACGGAGAGGATCGCGACCTGGACGTGCGCACGCACACGTGTCACACACACACACACGCGTGTGTTTGCGTGTTACACAGAGACAGACCCCCCCCCCCCCTATAGGCTGGCGGCCCCGGTTAATACCGCAGGCGCGTTAACGTCGGCACCGCGGAGACAAAGGCGGTCGGGCGTGGTGCTGGCCACCCACCCCCTCGTGTACAGTTCCGGCCTTCATTAGGTGCTCGCTAACAGCACTTGCCCCAACAGTCTGTTTAGGTTATACGGGGGATCTTTGTCTCTGTGCATTGCAAGCCACGGTTGGCACGGTTGGGAGCGCGGCTGGTGCATCTGCCAGTCGTCTCCGTCGGCTAACCCACGGCCCCTGGGTCCATCCTGTGAACTCCTGCCAGCGGCAAGCCTTCAACACTTCACTTGCCTTACACGGTGCACTTAGCGTGGCACAAGCAGTGCCATAGTGGCAAGAGGTTAACTCCCTCGCCTTGTACACAGGAGGTCGTGAGTTCGATCCCGACCCTGAGGCCTGTATATTTGGAGTTTGCATGTTCTCTTTGTGGTCACGTGGATTTCTCTCCAGCTCCTCTGGTTTCTCCATCCACAGTTAGAAAAACGCGTTAAGAGTATTTGCCGGTTATACATTTCCACACGATGATAAGCCACTTCGTTGAGCGATCATTTGTGGCCAGGTCGCTTCTGAAAAAGAGCTATAAAGCTCGGTGGGCCTTACCTGGTAAAATAAAAATAGTTAATATTGACGTCACTGCCACTTAGTGGTGAACGGCGGCTGTTGTTCGTTGTTGTTGTGACCCTCACCTGTGGGTGGTCTCCATGAACTCGTCGGCGATGATCCGGCCAAGTTTTCCGGCTCCAGGCCTGGTGCCGCCCGGCAAGCCCGGAATCCCGGGAATGCTGCGTTTAATTCCTGGTTATGGAATGGAAAAGTTACGGAAACATTCGTTAATCACCTCTGTTGAACCGCTCATTCGCAAGGGTAAAGGTGCAGCCCTGCAATTTTCTGGTCAACCCCACCGCTGGCAGAAAGGATATTCTGGCCTAGTCCTTCCTCCACGCTGGCCCGATGTCTTGGGAGAGGTGGGAGTGCCCCACCACAGCAGACCTGCGGATTATAAACCAATTGTGGTGTTCCAATTTCTACTGCTGGGTGGACACAGGCCACGGTGGGTTTAAGAAGCCCGCACCATTGTTTCAATGGCCATGCCTTGGTGGACATCTGTGAAAAAGAACTCCATAGCTCACCGAGCTGTGTAGCTCTTTTTCAGAAGCCACAAATGATAGCCCAACGAAGTGGCCTTATCACGCAGTAGCGTCAGGGTCGGGATCGACCCCATGACCTTCTGCGTACCAGGCGAGGTATTAAACATCTCGCCACAGTGGCGCCCCCACGGAAAGAAACTGGTTAGAGGGTTAGGAAGATGTCACGGCAGCAGCGGCAGCAGCTGCATCACCAGGCCCGGCTCACCCACGGAGGAGGAGGAGCGAGCGGCAACCGGGCGGCTGGCGGAGGAGCCGCCGTTGCCCGGACTGAGCCCCGCGAGCGGCGCGAACCCCGGCATCGCGGACGCGGGGCCCGGGCGGCCACCCCCGGTGCCGCCCCCGGTGGACCCCTCCGCCCGGTCGTCCCCGCCGCCACGGCGCTGGGAGCCCAGCGTCGAGGTGGGGCTCAGCTGGGCCAAGCCGGGGCTCGCCGAGCCCATTTCTGACAAACTCACGCTCGGGTGGGACGCGGAGCGTACGCGCGCGCGCACACACGCACGCGTACGCACGCACACACACGAGCGCACGCACACGAACGCACGCGTACAAGCACACGCATGGGCGTGCACACGTATGGACACGGGATCGTATGCACATGCGCGGGGAACACGCGCAGTTTCGCACACACGTGCGTTCATGGGGGAGAATATACGCACAGGCACGTGCAGACGGATACACAAAGTTGACACGCGCGAGCGTGTCCCAAACAGGTGCACGAACGCGCACACGTTTACAGACGTGCAGCACACACATCGCACCACGCCACACACACAAACACAGTCACACGCACGCACCCACCAATATACACAAACACATACATACAAGCAGGCACACACACACACACACGTGTTAATTGTTTTGTACGAAGAAGTACATCTCACAGCCACTGCACGGCATTGCCGTGCCCTGACGCTGTATCTCGGCGTGCCCTCATTCATGTGTTTTGCAGCAGAAGGTCATTCTCATCCAGCGGAACGAATTGTTACATCGACATCGTCGTCATCGGCCGTGGTCAATCCACTGCTGGATGAACGCCTCCTCCCCCCCACCTCCCCCAGCCGCCGCCACCTTCCACGACCCTGCATGTGACCGCTCCGTCCAGCGCCGTGCGTACAACGCGGACGCTGTCTTTGTTTTTCTAGCGTGCTGCACTGCCCTCTGCTGCCCACGCCCCTACAGTATCTGCTGCCTCAGCAGCAGTAACAACAACGGCAGCAGCAGCAGCCTACAGCACATCCTGCGGTAATGTCCCAGTTTGTGACCGAGATCGAGGCCCCCTTGGCTGCGTCGCTCAATGTCGGGGCCCGGCCGGTGAGGCGACGTGCGGAGACTCTGTCCCCGACAACTCGGCCCATTGGCGGATGGCCGGGTCAGCCGCTTAACCGACCGACAAACTCTCCCACCGACCGATCGATCGACCGACCGACCAGCTGACTGGTTGACCAATCGACCGACTGACCAATCAACTGACCGACCAATCGATCGACTGACCGACGGACCGACCGACTGATTTCCCGATCAATCGAACGATTGACCAGCCCACCTAACAGCGAGCGAGGGAGCCACTTACGCGATGAGCGTGTTGGTGGACACGATGTACTCCACGTCCTTGGTCCACGGGTTCATGAAGCTGAACCAGAGGCTGCGCAGCGTGGCGAAGAAGCCGTCCTTGCAGCGGAAGCGGTACAGGTTGGTGGCGATGCGGTCTCCGGACTGCAGCACTGGGAGTGTGAAGCGGTGGCGGTCACCGGAGGGGAGAGAGAGGGGGGGGGGGGGCAGAGTGAGACGCGGGGTGGAGGTGGTGGCAAGTGAGGAGCGTTGGAGTTGAGGGTAAAGATGTCAAACGGACCCGGCTTGGCTGGGGACAGCCCCAGTGGTGTTGGAGAGGAAGTGGTGGTGGTGTTGCTGGAGCTGCTGCTGAAGGCGATGGTTTTGTTGGTCGTGCTGATGGGGGCGATTGTGCTGATGCTGCTGATGGTGGAGGTGCTGCTGCTAGTGCTAGCTGACGGTGGTTCTGATGGATTTGATGATGATGATTGTGATGGTGCTGGTGGATTTGATGATGATGATTGTGGATTTTATGATGGTAATGGTGGATTTGATGATGATTGTGGATTTTATGATGGTACTGGTGGATTTGATGATGATTGTACTGGTGGTTTTGATGATGATGATTGTGGATTTTATGATGGTACTGGTGGATTTGATGATGACGATGATGACGATGATTTTACTGGTGGATTTGATGATGATGATGATGGTGGATTTGATGATGACGATGATGATTGTACTGGTGGATTTGATGATGGTGGTGCTGGTGAATTAAGCTGCTGCTGCAGCTGGTGATGGTGGCGGTGGCGGTGATGTCGAGGAGTCCCCACCCAGGCGGTGAGACTCGGCCAGGTGCACGAGGTCGTCCTGGTGGAAGTACTCGTAGCACGAGGTGCCCAGCAGCTCCTGTGGCAGGTAGCCCAGGATCGCCGTCGCCCTGCACCGCGACAACAACAAACAAACAAAAATCAACGCCGCTATGAACGCCGCCGCCGCCGCCACTTCGAACCGGACCACAGGCGTTTGTTTCAAAAGAGTAATAAACTGTACTCGTACTCCTTGGTTCGTAAAGTCACGTAGGTAGAAATAAAACAAATCACAAAGTTTTGATCGCAACACAAGCAATCCTCATCAGTTGGGAACACCACAGCAAGAAAAAATGCTGACGTGGGCGAGAGAGAGCTGCCGTGGCAAGAGGTTTTATAGGTGGAGCAAGGGGGGAGAAAGGGGGGGGGGAACTGATCCATTCTCGAATCGAATTGCAACCGGCAGGATCGTAAACCATTCACCGAATCGCCAGAGAGCGGAGTGCCGGGTGTGTGTGGAGCGGGGGCCGGTGAGTCAAGGCGAAATGTGAACACTCTCTCCTGGTATCAGGGGCATTCATACTGGAGATGTCCAGGAGGGGCACTGGATCAGGACGTAACAACAACAACAAACAATACACAAACACGACACGAGTGCAAAGTATAGAAAATGTAAACAAATAATTTTAAACTTCTGTCGCGCCGTACGTAGCCAACAGCGCTAATCGGAGGTGCGCGGAAGGACAACAAACAAAACACGAAAAAGAGTTTTCAACCGAGATTGTTTAAAATTGCATAGCTCCCAGTGGCGTTTGAATATCGCAAGGAAGAGCGTTCCAGACGGCCGCAGAAGCGAACCCGTTAGCGCCGCGCGATGAAGCGTCTTTGTCCGACGGCCGAGCCAAAAGCCGCCTCCGCCGCTGCGAGGACGGTGACCGGAGTTCGTGCCCTTGCCGGTTTACGCTCCCCGGACGAGAGATTCGGTGTTGCGGCTCATTCGCAGCGAGCGCTTTACGTGCGACAGGCGTATCGGCGGCGGCGGCGCAGCGTCAGCACCGACCTCTGGTCGACGAAGGTGAACTTGCCGTCGACGGCGTGGCGCGACACGAACTCGGCGGGACGCACGCGGATGTGGTTCTGCTGGTGTTGGTGGTGCTGGTGGTGCTGGTGTTGGTGGTGCTGAGCGGAGCCGGGGTTCAGGGTCCCCGCGCCCAGCTGGTGCGACGGTGGCGCCGCGCCGCCGGTGCCCCCCGCGGCGGCCAAGGCGGGAGGGGCGTGCGCCGTCACGTGTGGGTGCAGGCGGCCGATCGCCACGAGGCAGCTGAGGTTGCAGCCCTCGTTGTCCGAGCTCTCGCCCTCCTCCTCCAGGCCCATCTTGGTGGGCGGCCAGCTCTTGAGGTAGCCCGTGCAGTGGATCGTGCAGAAGTTCTTGCGGTCTACACCGGGTCGGAGGGGCGAGGGGGCAGGACGGTTTACGTTTGGACGAGAGAGTGGCGGTCGCGGGTTGGAGGTTGTTTTAGTTTTTTTGGTTCGTGAGATTCGGTTTTGGGAACTTTACGCGACGACAGAAATATTCAATTGCGCTGGAGCCTGACGCCGGCCCACGGGTTGCAGAAATAATGGCCCCAGACCAATAACCCCCAGGTCACTCTCGATTTCTCAGCTGGTTCAAACCGAATCGTCTCAACGAAGCGAACTGAACCTGCAATGAAAACGGACAAACCGGCCACAACCCCCCCCCCCCCCCACTTCCAGCCCCTCCACGACCCCGGAGTCCCCGTGGGACTGTACCGACCGTTCTTCTTCTTGGAGCAGCTGGAAGAGAAATCCTTCTCCTCCGACTTGACGAGCGCCGGCTGGTTGCTCTTCATGCGGCAGAAGAAGGCGCGCCGGGCGCCCGAGCACAAGCGGCTTGGCCTCGCCAGCACGTCCGTCTTCACCGGCAAGCCCGCTGCGCCCACACGCAAGAGGCAAAGGGGTCCCCCCCCGTTATAGTCTTTGCCGGGGTGGTGGGGCAAGTGCTGCCGAAGGTGGCCCAGTCGCGGCATGGAGCGCCGTGCCCCGCGTGGAATTGACAAAAAAACGTCGCCTCCCCCCCACTCCGCGCGCCAGGCAACTCGTTTAAGGCTGAGTCGACCTAAGGGAGGCCCCTGGGGGTCGCTTGAGATATTCGCTGATGATGGGTTCGTAACGCAGCGAGCGTGCACGCACGTGCCCAGAGATATACATACACACAGATATAGATATACATACACAGATATACATACACACAGATATATAGATATACATACACACAGATATACACACACGCACGCACGGGGTCACACAATGCTCTGTGAGATTTCCGAATGGATTCCCTCTCATGATGTGAACACCGGTAGCTCACCGTGACTTCAACTGGGCGGCTGATAACGTGCGTATGTACGCAGAACTTCTTTCGCACCGTACGGAGCCAACTGTTCTAATCGGAACTGCGGTAATAAACAACACGGACGCCGTTGTATTCTCCGTAATGATAAACTTTTTTCCGCGCCCCCCCCCCCCCCGTGTCGATTTTTTTTTTTAAATTGACCCCACATTTGTGGGGTGCGTCTTACTCTACCGTGGTGCCCTCCAATCCGGAGAATACGATAAAACGATGACGACGATGGTGTTTTGATAGTCGCCCTCCTTCACGCCGCTGCGTCTCAGAGAGCTTTAAGCGCGACGAGCAACTTGCATCCCAACCCAGCACATTCGCAAGGACACCCCCCCCCCCCCACCCCAGTGGCACAAGGTGACATCTGCACCTAGTCTGGGAGTGGACATTGCTCTGCCGGTAGGGGGCGACGTTTGCTGCCGTGTGTAATCCCAATTGAGTAATGATGAAGATGCTACCCCGCACTCACTCTTAGCGTCTATAAGCCTCTCCCTAGGAGCCGTGTCTGACGAGGACAGCTGTTCCTTCACCTTGGCAATGTCCTTGGGATGAAGGTAGTCAAAGAGACTTTGCCCAATCAGGTCATTCTGCATACACACGACATTGCACAGCAGGCAAACCAGTAACACAATAATTATAACAATATTCTTGGCACTTACATGGCGATTGCTTTACAAGCCTCGGCTCATTCAAAGCGCAGCGCATCGCATCATTCTAAAGGGGGCACCCCCATCGACAGCCGTCCCCGTGCAGCACAAGGCCAGCGAGCGAGCATTCTTCCGCCAGTGGGTGGGCGATGATTTACTGCTCCGTGTGTCTGTGTGTGATGCCAGTTGAGTCATTTGCGGTGTGATTTTTAGAATTTGGAACGTTTGGCCCACGACGCCGGCACGTGATGGCCGTCTCGTGAAGTCGACAGGCGCGGGCTTTGTGGTTGATGCACGCGCAGTATTAACCGGGGCGGCCTGCCGGATTGGAACCGAGAAGAACGGTGTCAATTAGTTCCCCTGCCAAGCCTCGTTGAGTCTCAAGGCACTGCCTTGCAGGAGGATCCTGCTTTGGGATTTTTTTGGCCATTTCTAAAGCGGCTTGGTCTCTCGCGCCCGTCCACGGTAAATACGGCGATGATGTTTGGCAAAGCCACATCAAGGCAGTGGCACAGAGGTTCACAACCACTTGGATGGCATCGCTGAGATCCTGGAGTTCATTATTTGGTTCTTTCGGTTAAGTTACGTCTAAAGATAAAATAATAAATTAAAATAATAGCATATTACGACGTTTCGATTGCAACACAAGCCGATATGTGTCCTCTCTTTGTGTGTCCTTGTGATGTCTGTCTGCTTGTATGTCTGTCTATAGTTTTCTAGTTAGATTTTTGTTGCTATTTCTTTTATGCCTGATGATTGCTTGTGTTGCAATCGAAACGTCGTAATATGCTATTATTTTAATTTATTATTTTATCTTTAGACGTGACTTAACCGAAAGAACCAAAGAATAATTCCTACAGTCACGAAAGCTCCAAAATTAAGATCCTGGAGTTCAGTTTAATTTATTAGGTATAGCCCTGTGAGCCATTCGGCTCTTGAATCGGGTGCAACCGCAACAAACAAAAACAGTTCGAAGCCAGGCAGCTGCTTGTGATTAAGCCGGGTTCTCAGGTCGAGTGATTTGGTGGTCTCAGCGCGGTCACCAATAAGTAAGTAAGAACATTTGATATTGCGCACCCTTATGAGTCCGGTCCATCGCTGCACACAACAGCAACAACAGCAATAAAACGAGCATCACAATTCAAGTTGTTTCTGCATAATTTGCCAGAAGACAGTGGCTCTGAGAATGAAAGCAAGCGGGCCCCATCGCCGCTCTCGCACGGCAGAGGCGGGTGACAAACTTGTACCCCCTGGAGGTGGCTCTGCGACATTCACTTCCACGGGCCGTTCCCACGCACCAAAGTTGCGCCGCGCCTCTCTGTGAGAGTGCTCCGAATGGATTCTCCGTCTCGTAACGACGCGGCCTGCCGCTAGCGCGATGGCGGATGAGGCTGGGGTGGTAACAAACCAAAAAAACGTCAAGGAAATGTCCAGCGCGAGCTTTACCTGGCCGAAGTTGAGGATCTTGGAGACCGACTCTGAGACGAAGAGGATTTTCCCACGATCACATCCGACCACGAAGAGGAACCCCTCGGAGGCCTGCGGGGCAAAGACGCAACAATTCAGCCGTCGACTCGGAGTTGACTTTTCCTGGTCGGGCCACCTGACGATCTGGCGTGTTGAGACGTTAATAAGTGCACATTATCGTTGTTATTATTGAACACGTAGAGCGATTGCCGATTCTCGACTATTCCTTCCTGCGGCATTGGCAGCAGCACGGCCACTCACCCGCAGGATCAGATTCTTGAGCTCGTCGTCGGACAGAAACGCCGGTTTGTAGTTGGCCTCCGTGTACACGTTGGTGGCGCCTGCGAATGAAGAGCACGCGGCCATCGGTGGGAAATTTTAGTGCGAGAAGGGAAAAAGAAACTGAAGAGTGGGCGCCAAGATGCGGGCTTGGAATGAAACTATTATAAATTAAATTAGATTTTTTAATCAACCAGACTTGAGCTCCCCCGTGTCTCACTAAACCAGACTTCAGCTCCCCCCGTGTCTCACTAAGCCAGACTTCAGCTCCCCCGTGCCTCTCCAAACCAGACTTCAGCTCCCCCCGTGTCTCACTAAGCCAGACTTCAGCTCCCCCGTGCCTCTCCAAACCAGACTTCAGCTCCCCCCGTGTCTCACTAAGCCAGACTTCAGCTCCCCCGTGCCTCTCCAAACCAGACTTCAGCTCCCCCCGTGCCTCTCCAAACCAGACTTCAGCTCCCCCCGTGCCTCTCCAAACCAGACTTCAGCTCCCCCGTGCCTCTCCAAACCAGACTTCAGCTCCCCCCGTGCCTCTCCAAACCAGACTTCAGCTCCCCCGTGTCTCACTAAACCAGACTTCAGCTCCCCCGTGCCTCTCCAAACCAGACTTCAGCTCCCCCGTGTCTCACTAAACCAGACTTCAGCTCCCCCCGTGCCTCTCCAAACCAGACTTCAGCTCCCTCGTGTCTCTCCAAACCAGACTTCAGCTCCCCCGTGCCTCTCCAAACCAGACTTCAGCTCCCTCGTGCCTCTCCAAACCAGACTTCAGCTCCCCCCGTGCCTCTCCAAACCAGACTTCAGCTCCCCGCGTGTCTCTAAAACCGGGCTTAAGGCGACCGCGGTTTTGCGCGCCGCCGCCGCCGCGTCCCGGTGCCTCACCGCGCAGCGTCTTCATGTGCTGCACCGCCATGCGCAGCACCGTGAGCTTGTCCAGCTTGCGCGACATGGCGCTGCACGTGGGCACCATGGACGCCAGCTCGTCGATGTAGCTGTTCATCTTGTCCCGCCGCCGCTTCTCGATCTGACTGTGAGCCTCCCTGGCGGGGCACACAGCGCAAAGGTCCACCGTTGCAGCCTTGAGGGCAAGCGCCGCCAGCGAGTAGCACGCTGAAAGCATGGTTGGAGCATGGCTGACATCACACGACGGTGATATCCGAAACCGGTCCTGGGCCCCCACCTTCCACTCCCTGAGCCGCACACCCAACCGGCGTGGTGATAACGACAGAGGGCCCAGTCGCTGTCGGGCGCTTGTCAGTGGCTGCACTGGCAGTGCCAGTGGGGGGGGGGGGGGGGTGGCACGTGCCCCCCCAATGATCCGATCGAAATCCCTCATTCGATCGGATCATTGGGGTTTATTAGTAATAAATCGGCATTTTGCGACCCCCACTGCCACTGTGTAGCATATTATTACGTGCCAGGGACTCTATGAGATGGATGACAGGACAATATTCTGAGTCCATAATTGGCAATAAGTAACGGCAAAGCGGTTATAAGTGACTCACAGAATTGTGCGCAGTTGCGTCACAAGTACACGACTTCCCTGAAGGCATCAACACCTTCAGCGAGCGCGATGCCGATCACACCACGCGGTTCGAATTCGACCCTCGATCGATGTCTGCGCCATCGCCGCACACGCGTCGCATAAAAAAGCAAGGGACAAGTCCTTACTCACTAACAACTCCTCTATCATTTCTCATTGCTGGAGGGGTTGCCCCCCCCACCTGAAAATCCTGGCTCCGCCATTGAGTGGCTGACAATGAACGCGCTCACCGATGGCCGGGCACGGTATCGTCGGCGTCGTTCAATTTCGCCCTCCGTAGCTCGACGCGAGTTTCCAGCGCTCCGACGAGCGGTCAACGCCCGAGACGAGAGACGCTCGCCGTCCGCGCGCTGCCCACAGCGACGGCGAGCGCCTCTCTCCCCGTGTCGATCGCATCGGGAGGGCTGCCCGAGTCGAGCTTTCGGAAGTGGTTGCGCCACGCAAGGCGGTGCCGACCGTCTCGCGACGATGACCGCAAGTCGGGGAAGCCGCGCTCCGCGTTGACGCAGCTCAAGGGGCCATCCACTGAGTCCGTACGCATTGAGGGGTGAGGGGGGGTTAATCCAAATGCGTTCGCTTGCGTAGGGGGGGGTCTACTGACAATGTGCGCATAGGAAACGAGGAGGGGGGGGTGAAGCCTCGATAATAATTTGTCTACATTGGCCTTCAAATGAGCCACAGTTCAGTTTCTTCAGCTGTGAGACAACAAGTACTACCGGGAGAAGTGGGACTGTGGGAGAGGTGTCACTCGTGTGCCACCGTGCCCCTGACTGCAGCTATCACGCAGCTCAGCAAAATAAGTGGCCAAGGTACACAACTTAATTCTTTCATGCAGCCGGCGGTGGACAATCTGTTTGCTCAAACACGTTAATATTATTAATCCGTGATTGTTTCTGCGTGGATTAAATATCGGACGTTCTTTAGGATTCGGGGGGGGGGGGGGTGTAAAAAGTCCGCGTGCGTACAGGAAGGGGGGGAGGGGTTTTGAGTTTTGACAGATGTTTGTGTCCCTACTCAATGGATGGCCCCTAAGGGGAGCGAAACGACTCGGCGACAACCACTCCCAGGAGCGTTGCCTGCGTGTGGTTCGCGTTTTCCCAAGAGGTAGATGCGTCTCTACCCCCCCCACCACCACCACCTCCGCACAACGAGCTAGAGGTTACATCAGAATGAGAATCGGAATATTTCGTGACACTGGAGGAATCCGATAATCCGCGAGGCTCTGTCTCGTGGGCATCAGTGACACGAAGAGACGTCCTTCTTACTTGGAGTACTTGTTTCTGCACTGCTGATCCGTGCCTTCCACTCTGAGAATAAAGAAAGAAAAAACACACGCGCGGCGTGAATACAAAAATTAAAAACAAAGCAAAATATTTAACACACTTGTCAACAACGCCTACTTAATAGAATAAAATCGACAGTGCCGCTGTTTACAAGTGTGTCGAGTTTATTTTTCCGTGTTAACTGGGCCGCATTAGCAACAGCGGGAGCGTCGCAACAATAATTGACGGACGGTACCTGTTAACACTCTTTGCTTCTTTCGGTAAAGTCACGTGGGTGTATAAAATTAAATAAATCACGACGTTTCGATCGCAACACAAGCGGTCGGCCTCGGGCGGAAAAAAATATTATCCAGCAGTGTAACTGCTGAACCAGCGAGAGAGCTGTTACAACAAGAGGCTATACATGTGGCGATGGGCAAGCAAGAGGGGTCCTCCTACGCCCACGTGACTTTACCGAAAGAGCCAAAGTGGATGGATTCCTGCAGTCACGAAAGCTTCAAATCAAGAATGGTACCTATACTCTTAGTTTTTTCGGTAAAGTCACGTAGGTAAAAAATGAAATAAAAATTAATAAAAATAAAATAATAAAAATCACCACGTTTCGGAGGCAACACAAGTCTCCGTCATCAGGTGGGACCGTCACAGCCAGATTTGCTGCATCAAGTGAGGCAGGGATTCCAAAATGCGATACGTTCCATTCATTGGCTACCACATTCTGATAAGCCCCCCCCCCCTCCCCCTTAACTTGTATTTAAGAACTTGCATCTTGGAATCCCTGCCTCACTTGATACAGCAAGTCTGGCTGTGACGGTCCCACCTGATGACGGAGACTTGTGTTGCCTCCGAAACGTCGTTATTTTTATTATTTTATTTTTATTAATTTTTATTTCATTTTTTACCTACGTGACTTTACCGAAAAAACTAAGAGTATGAATCCTTGCAGTCACGAAAGCTTCAAATCTATAAACAATGGTACCTGTTGAGTTGATCGTCTCTGTCCGTGTCCATACAGTCCCTGCCAACAAGCCAAGCGTGCACACAGAGACCCCCCGCATCGTATTAACAGACTGTTGGGGGCACGTGCTGTTAGCGAGCGTCACCTGTGAAGGCCGGCACGGCACACGAAGGGGGTGGGTGGCCAACACCACGCCCGGCCGCCTTTGTCTCCTCAGCGGCGATATATATATTTACACACCGCACCAGGTACTCATTTCGAGGCCGAGTCGACCTTGGAGAGGCCCCAGCACCGGTTCAGATAATCACCGCCCGGTGTTGGCCGCGAGCGGGAATCGAACTCGGCGATGCCGGGTTCGTGGCGCAGTGCTAACCGCTGCACCGCCGCTCCCAACACGCGTGGGTTGGGGTGCGAGTGACGCGCTGAGTGGTGAGAGGCTTTGACGACACTCGTGCACATGACATGGTAACAACATCGACCTGTAGCACTGCGCCGCAGAGGTCGCAAACAGGTTTTGATTCCTTACCCGTACCCGTACCCGGCCGCACTAGGGTCGCAAACGGGTACCCGTACCCGGCCGTACCCGTACCCTACCCGTACCCGGCCGGGTACGGGTAGGGTACAGGTATCGGGTACCTGATTGCGACCTCTGGGATGAAGCCATGTTGCAGGCGCGGGTGGGTTGATTCTAGGAACTTGAATTGTGAGAAGAGACAAGACGTTGGGAAATGAGTGACAAACGGCTACTCACCAATGACTCACGGCCTACCCGTACCCGGCCGGGTACGGGTAGCCGGGTATCGGATAGGGTACGGGTATCGGGTATCGGGTACCCGGTTGCGACCTCTGCTGCGCCGCCATCCCCCAACGCGACGGCGTTCGCTCCTCGCTCGCGTTGAGAGAGAGCGAAAGGCTCGGAGGAACCACGGATGAACGGAGAAGCCAGCGGCCACACGGTGAGATGGCAATTGCCCAAGCTCTGCGATCCTCTGCGTGTTAAGATGTTTTCAGCCAATTGATGAGCGTTTATACATGCCGGCGGGGGGGGGGGGGGCGGTGGGGGAATCCAGAGTGTCCGGAGAAATCCCACGGTGCCATATCCCATCCACGCAGATGGCGGTCAGTCAAGAGTTTACCGCACGGCCTTCCGATACGGCTCGCCCTCGACGCCCGCGGGAAGGGATTCTCACGACGACATCTGAGGATAACGACGACGACGACGAGTGGGAGGAGGAAGAGAGAGAGAGAGAGGTGAGTGTGGCGAGCGGTGATAGCGGTGAGAAGGGAGCTACTCACTCGAATGAAAAGCCATCCAGGCTGGGCGCGACGTGAGAAGGGGAGAGACAGGAGAACAGGGCGTTTCAGTCGTTACGACGCGACAACATCGTGCTCGAACGGACCGTTTGTTGTTTCCTTTCACGGAGAAAATATCAATCGACTGGCATCGCGGTGCGTTTTTATCCGCCTCTCGATGCGTCCTCGGGCGAGTCCTGTCGCCTCGGGACGCTGCGTCCAGCTTTCTCACCTTACCGCGGCGCAGAGGTCGCAAACGGGTTTTGATTCCTTACCCGTACCCGGCCGCACCAGGGTCGCAAACGGCTACCCGTACCCGTACCCGGCCGGGTACGGGTAGCCGGGTATCGGGTAGGGTACGGGTATCGGGTACCCGGTTGCGACCTCTGCCGCGGTGGTTACTAATCCGCCAAAGCCTCGCCGGGTCAAAGTAGGAGCGTTGTTGTTATTATTATTCGAGAGGGTCACCACTACATTGTAATGTTTGGCCAATTTGATTCAGGTGCCAGTGGATAGCTCCGCCACACACGGATGGACTCAATAATCCAGTGCTGCACCGCCACCTCCTGGCCACCTCGGGCTACTGACCAGCTGCGGGAATTGAACCGTTGCCGTCTGTTCTCCGGGTAAATGAGAAACACTTCCAGCCATCCCCCCCTCCTCCCGCCTCCCCCTCCCCGTATTTTAAAACAAACGTTGTGGGCGCCTCTCACAATTTCGGAGGATACGGTAACATACTCTTAGATCTTTCGGTAAAGTCACGTAGGTAAAAAATGAAATAAAAATTAATAAAAATAAAACAATAAAAATCACGAAGTTTCGGAGGCAACACAAGTCTCCGTCATCAGGTGGGACCGTCACAGCCAGATTTGCTGCATTAAGTGAGGGAGGGATTCAAGATGTAAGATACGTTAACAGTCATGCACACACCCGCGCAGCGGAGAGCAGCTGCAAACGCCAACACCACGTGCGCAAACTCCGGCTGGACAGAGCTGTTATAACCGGTCACCGCTGTAAGCCGCTAACCGTTTGCCCGACTCGTCAAAATGACGCCGGCGCAATCGGTTACACTAGGGTGTAGCGGATGTCATTTTGGTACCAAGTTCACCGATGATCCAACCGCCGCGCCTAGACACGGAAGGTAAGCGGTCTCCGCTGGATGGCCACTCTGTGTTCATGTCGGGGCGCCGCGGTGGCGAGACGTTAACTACCTCGTGGCTTCCATCCCGACCCTGACGCTGCCTGCCGCTGTAAATTTGGAGTTTGCGTGTCTCTCTCTCACACAATCATCACGGTGGCTAGGAGATGTTAACTACCTCGCCTGGTGTGCAGGAGATCGTGGGTTCGATCCTGACCCTGATGCCTGCTGCTGCTGTATATTTGGAGTTTGCGGTGTCTCTTTCTCTCCACCGTGGTCGCGTGGATTTTTCTCCGGGTCCTCCGGTTTTTCCCTCCGCATTCAGAATCGTCAATTGTTTTGAGTATTTTTCGGCTATAAATTTCCACGTGATAAGCCACTTTCGTTGAGCGATCATTTCTAATCGCCAGGTTGCTTCTGAAAAAGAGCTGCATAGCTCAGTGGGCCTTACCTGGTAAAAAAAAAAAAATATTTAAAAAAATAGTTTAGTTCAGTAGATTGGTGAAGAATAATCGTGTGTCCGAAGCCAGACTTAGCGTGTTTTGGTTTTCTGCGGGCTGTGTGATCCCACGCTCCGCTTCCCTCTATTAGCCCGGATGATCTAGAGCTTATTGTTGCGTCGGAAATGTATTTTCGAGGCATTGTTCGCCAATGACATTTCGGGAATTTTAAGGGGGGGAACAAAAAAAAGGCAATTCCGTGTAGGCGCTGAGCTCGGTCATTTGTGTGGCTTCAAGAAAGCCTTTTTATATTTCCGCATTAATATCTAGGTCACAGCGCCCGTGTTGGTTTTTTATATATTTATATATAATATAATTCATTGTTACTATTCTTTGTATTACTCCATTGACGCCGCTGTATTCATGTCCTCGTTGTTTGTCTTAAAGCCATTCTCGCACAACGCCTTTCACAGCGTTCTCATTCATTTCAATGCCACGTGTGACGCACACATTACGTGACGCCGAAATGTATTTTTTGTTTTTAATAAGCTGGCTTCCCGGTCATTTAAATGTAGGACACCATCCGATTTAAATGTCGCGTGAAATAGCCGAATTAAATGACCGATATTCTTAGGTTTTTTCGGTAAAGTCACGTAGGTAAAGCAGTAAAATTAATAAAAGTAAAATAAAATAAAAATCACGACGTTTCGGAGGCAACACAAGCTTCCGTCTTCAGGTGGAACCGTCACAGCCACGACAGCTGTATCAGGTAAATGAGAGATTGCATATACGGAGTAGTAGCTCTTGCAATCTCTCATTTACTTGATACAGCTGTCGTGGCTGTGACGGTTCCACCTGAAGACGGAAGCTTGTGTTGCCTCCGAAACGTCGTGATTTTTTAATTTTATTTTACTTTGATTAATTTTAACGTTTAACCTACGTGACTTTACCGAAAAAACCTAAGAATATGAATCCTTGCAGTCACGAAAGCTTCAAATCTAGAATTAAATGACCGATTTAAAATAAACTAGATATTTTTTTTTTATTTTACCAGATTAGGCCCACTGAGATACGTAGCTGGTTTTTTTCAGAAGCGACCTGGCCACAAATGATAGCCCAACGAAGTGGCTCATCTTCTTGGTTCTTTCGGTAAAGTCACGTAGAAAAGAAATAATAAAATAATAAAAATAAAACATAATAAAATTTCGATGTAAAGCTTTCGTGACTGCAGGGATTCATCTTTCGGTAAAGTCACGTAGAAGGGAAGACAGCGTCTGACGCTCAGGTGAAGACCAGGTCTGTCGGGGTGACGCTGTCTCCCCGACAGACCTGGTCTTCACCTGAGGACGGCTGCTTGCGTTGTGGCCGAAACGTCGTGAGAATTATTTTATTATGTTTTATTTTTATCACTTCATTATTTCCCTTCTACGTGACTTTACCGAAAGAACCAAGAAGATGAATCCCAATGCTTAAAAATAACCTGGGAAAAATCGCTCAATCCCGATCACACGCAGCAGCAGCAGCGGCAACAACATCACCGCCCCGAACTTGGCGAGTTCCCTCCTTTAAAATGAGTCTCGTAACGATAATCACGACGACGGCAATGACAACGACGCGGCGTGCGCACTCTCGCGTGGGCACCGTCTCGCGTACTCGTAGTCGGGGGAGCTGCCACGCCGCTTGCGGTTGAAGTCGAGGGCGGCGCTGTTGAGCGTGCGAGGCATCAGCCCCGAGGAGCCAGGCGCCAGGAACTCGCTCATCGTCGAGCTGATGTCCATGCGCTGGTCCGCCATCGCTTCATCTGCACGAGGCACGCGTACAACATGCGCAGGGGACACGGGCACCAGGGCAGCTTCAGAGAGAGACCAGTACCAGGGCAATGCCATCTCAATGTCTCTACACCGTGCTTTAGAGACGCTAATACCAGGGCAATGCCAACTCAATGTCTCTACATCGTGCTTTAGAGACGCTAATACCAGGACAATGCCATCTCAATGTCTCTACACCGTGCTTTAGAGACGCCAATACCAGGGCAATGCCAACTCAATGTCTCTACACCGTGCTTTAGAGACGCTAATACCAGGGCAATGCCATCTCAATGTCTCTACACCGTGCTTTAGAGACGCCAATACCAGGGCAATGCCATCTCAATTTCTCTACACCGTGCTTTAGAGACGCCAATACCAGGGCAATGCCATCTCAATGTCTCTACACCGTGCTTTAGAGACGCCAATACCAGGACAATGCCATCTCGATGTCTCTACACCGTGCTTTAGAGACGCCAATACCAGGGCAATGCCATCTCAATGTCTCTACACCGTGCTTTAGAGACGCCAATACCAGGGCAATGCCATCTCAATGTCTCTACACCGTGCTTTAGAGACGCCAATACCAGGACAATGCCAACTCAATGTCTCTACACCGTGCTTTAGAGACGCCAATACCAGGACAATGCCATCTCGATGTCTCTATACCGTGCTTTAGAGACGGCCAATACCAGGGCAATGCCATCTCAATGTCTCTACACCGTGCTTTAGAGATGCCAATACCAGGGTAATGCCATCTCAATGTCTGTCCATCGTGCTTTAGAGACGCCAATACCAGGACAATGCCATCTCAATGTCTCTACACCGTGCTTTAGAGACGCCAATACCAGGGCAATGCCAACTCAATGTCTGTTCGTCGTGCTTCGGACAGCTTCAGAGGGACACATGAACATTAGGACAAAGCCATCTCAACGTTTCTCTTGACCTGGTTACCGATTCGCAAGTCAAAGCATCGATAATGGAATCCGGTGCAGAGCATCGACAATAGAATCCATGCGTGCGCGTGGTGCAGGCGTGACCCAAAAGTCAGCAAATCAACAAATCACATCGGGTTATTTAAAAAAAATTTGTAGCAAATGTTCAAACTGTCTTCCATTGACATTTCATGCACGAATTCTCTTTTGAAACGAATTTAGGACTTTTCTATGATCACCGCTGCGTAATCTTTGAGCATTCATCAATAGTGTTTTGTAGTCTTCATTAATTCGGAGTTCTTGGTCGTGTTTTGTTAACAATGGATTTGAAGTGACCCCCCAAAGGAAGACGAAGAACCATCGATATATTAATACTGATAATTTATACAATATTCTTGGTTCTTTCGGTAAAGTCACGTAGAAGGGAAATAATAAAATAATAAAAATATTAAACAATAAAATTCTCACGACGTTTCGACTGCAACACAAGCAATTATTATCAGGTGTGAAATCCACAGCAAAATGTTTTTTTTTTCAAATTTTCTTGCTGTGGATTTCACACCTGATGATGATTGCTTGTGTTGCAGTCGAAACGTCGTGAGAATTTTTTATTGTTTTATTTATTTTATTTATTTTTTATTTCCCTTCTACGTGACTTTACCGAAAGAACCAAGAATATGAATCCCTGCAGTCACGAAAGCTTTAAATCAAAATATATACAATGTTAACTTAAAGAATAAGCAATTAAATTGTGTAATGCCAGTGTTAAAATGAATGAATTAACCCTATGCGTTCTGACTTTTGGGCCCTCCTGTATATATTTTTCATTTTAAAGCCACACAGTGTCATTCATGAATTTGTTGAGTTGTTGCTGTTATTGTTATTATTTGTCCTTGTGCACCACTGCCAACGCAGCAGCAGCATCACCAAATTGTTGGTTTAATGTTGGCGGTACGTGTAAACGGCGGTGACCTCCCGTTACGTGAATACGCGTTAAAGTGCGCTGACTATTTACATGCAATTAAAGTTGCAGGAATCCAGGCTAAATCCGCTTAACTATTCAATACGACGTCAAGCAAAGGCCAAGTAAAGAATTCAAATTGCCGCTTTGGGAAAAATTGTAAATGCACAAGAGTTATTATGTCATTCCTGGAAAGGAAGTGTCTAGACCGTTCGGCTAGCAAGAGGCCAACGGGCGAAGATAGATTACGTAACAAAATAAATGTCATCCATAAGAGTTTTTTTGGGTTAGATCGCGTAAATATATAAATGTGTCGTTAAAACCCGCCACCACCCGACACAGCCAACTAGTAAGGGTTGTCACGTAAACAGAACGTGACCAATTCGTCACTAGTACAGCACTAACCAGCGTGTTGGAATTGATTACTGTAATTACTGGCGAAACGTCGTACTCAGAGTGTAAATGTTGTGGCTTGGCTCTCCAACACACCGGTTAGTGCTGTACTCGTGACGAATTGGCCACGTTCTGTTTACGTGACAGCCCTCACTAGTCGGCTGTGTCGGGTGGTGGCGGATTTTAACGACACATTTATATATTTACGCGATCTAACCCAAAAAAACTCTATTATGGATGACATTGCTCGCGAAAGCCTACGCGCTAAACCAAAATAAATATGCTTCAAACGTAAAAAAAAAACACACCGACGAGATGAAACTGCCCTTAAAACAATCAACCGCACGCCAAAACCACCCTCGCGGTCAGTTTACGTGCGCGACGACGATCGCATTCGAACTGTTCCGGTAAAAACCGAACCTAAACCAAAATCACCGTTGAGACCGCCGAAACAAAAAATGTAAAAAAAAAAATCGAAAAAAAAACACATTTGCACAAACCTTCGTGAAACGAGTCGGGGATGAACGCCGGCTGCGTCGCGAAGGACATCGCGTGTGCGTGCGCGCGCTACTGCAACCACCTTCTCAGCCAAAGCCACTGCGTTTCTCCTCTCTGTCAGCCGCTGTTAAATGCGCCCGCAAGCGGCAGCAACAGCGGCAGCCACTGCTCGGTTTGGGTGGGTGGGTGGAGGGTTGTGGAGTTGTAATTTTTATAGCCGGAGCGAAAACAAGGAGCGAGTTTGCGCGCCGATGGTGCCAATAGGACGCGCGCTACGTGCCGTGACGCACGGCCCTACGGGTTTAATTAGACGCGCAAAGCAGCGAGAGAGAGCGAGAGAGGGATCGAGCGAGCGAGCGAGAGACGGGATAGTGGGTTGCGGTGGGGGTGTGCAGGCTGGGTTTGGGAGGGAGGCGCTCGCCGACTCGCAGGGATGGATTTGACCTACTTGTATGTGGGGCAGGGCTTAGCGCGACGTGTCAACACTTCAATGTGGCGGTGGCTGTAGCAGCGGGGCCGGCTCGCCAAGCGAGGAATCGGCGACGGTTTAAAGGTCTCCCCCCCCTCTCGCAGGAGTTCGTCCACGCGTTCACCACAGGCACCCTCGCGGCACCGACGCGTCCGCAGTTAGCCCAACGTGAGGCTTTTTCATCGTCGACTGCGTCGTTATCGCGCCCTTTCAGATGCGCTTCTGTGGTTCTCTGGTATCTCTGAAGCACGGTGTAGAGACGTTGAGATGGCATTGCCCTGGTGCTGGTATCTCTGCAGCACGGTGTAGAGACATTGAGATGGCATTGCCCTGGTGCTGGTATCTCTGCAGCACGGTGTAGAGATGTTGAGATGGTTGGTGCTGGTATCTCTGAAGCACGGTGTAGAGACGTTGAGATGGCATTGTCCTGGTGCTGGTATCTCTACAGCACGGTGTAGAGACATTGAGATGGCTGGTGCTGGTATCTCTGCAGCACGGTGTAGAGACGTTGAGATGGCATTGCCCTGGTGCTGGTATCTCTGCAGCACGGTGTAGAGACGTTGAGATGGCATTGCCCTGGTGCTGGTATCTCTGCAACACGGTGTAGAGACGTTGAGATGGCATTGCCCTGGATGCTGGTATCTCTGCAGCACGGTGTAGAGACGTTGAGATGGCATTGCCCTGGTGCTGGTATCTCTGCAGCACGGTGTAGAGACGTTGAGATGGCATTGCCCTGGTGCTGGTATCTCTGCAGCACGGTGTAGAGACGTTGAGATGGCATTGCCCTGGTGCTGGTATCTCTGCAGCACGGTGTAGAGACATTGAGATGGCATTGCCCTGGTGCTGGTATCTCTGCAGCACGGTGTAGAGACGTTGAGATGGCATTGCCCTGGTGCTGGTATCTCTGCAGCACGGTGTAGAGACATTGAGATGGCATTGCCCTGGTGCTGGTATCTCTGCAGCACGGTGTAGAGACGTTGAGATGGCATTGCCCTGGTGCTGGTATCTCTGCAGCACGGTGTAGAGACGTTGAGATGGCATTGCCCTGGTGCTGGTATCTCTGCAGCACGATGTAGAGACGTTGAGATGGCATTGCCCTGGTGCTGGTATCTCTGCAGCACGGTGTAGAGACATTGAGATGGCATTGCCCTGGTGCTGGTATCTCTGCAGCACGGTGTAGAGACATTGAGATGGCATTGCCCTGGTGCTGGTATCTCTGCAGCACGGTGTAGAGACGTTGAGATGGCATTGCCCTGGTGCTGGTATCTCTGCAGCACGGTGTAGAGACGTTGAGATGGCATTGCCCTGGTGCTGGTATCTCTGCAGCACGGTGTAGAGACGTTGAGATGGCATTGCCCTGGTGCTGGTGTCTCTGCATCACGGTGTAGAGACATTGAGATGGCATTGCCCTGGTGCTGGTATCTCTGCATCACGGTGTAGAGACGTTGAGATGGCATTGCCCTGGTGCTGGTATCTCTGCATCACGGTGTAGAGACATTGAGATGGCATTGCCCTGGTGCTGGTATCTTTGCAGCACGATGTAGAGACGTTGAGAGGGCATTGCCCTGGTGCTGGTATCTCTGCAGCACGATGTAGAGACGTTGAGATGGCATTGCCCTGGTGCTGGTATCTCTGCAGCACGATGTAGAGACGTTGAGAGGGCATTGCCCTGGTGCTGGTATCTCTGCAGCACGGTGTAGAGACATTGAGATGGCATTGCCCTGGTGCTGGTATCACTGCAGCACGGTGTAGACTGTAGAGACATTGAGATGGCTTTGCCCAGGTGCTGGTATCTCTTTCTTCCGATATTAGGAAGCCACTGTAGCGATGCACTTTTAAACAATCCAGATTGAAAAACTAAATTCTACAGAGCTGCTATTTGTGTTTAGTTTGTTGTCCTTTACGGGTCGTTAAACTTTTTTTTTTATATCCAGCGTCGAGGTCGCAGTGCGTCTTTAAGCCAGGTTTCTGACGTCCAACGTGGACATCCAATCGGCTGATGGACCCCCAGCTCGCGTTCGCGAAATGTCCGTGAAGACGGCACGGAGTGCTGCCCCGCATCTCTCGCCGCCTTTGACATTCGCAGGGGCGCTGCCATTCGCTGCAACGCGCGCTCTGCGTCTTGAAATCACGCGCACCTTGAATATTACGGCTGAATTATACGATGTTATTATTATAGAATGTTATTAAAAGAAAATGTTGTTATTATACAACGTTGTTATGATTATTTATGTTATTATTTTCGAATGTTATTATGATAGAATGCTATTATCATAGAATGGTATTAAACAATGTTATTATCATAGCACGTTTTTATCCTAAAATTTTATTATTCTACAATATTATTTTCATAAAATGTTATTATCATTATCGAATGTTATTATTGGAAGGGGTTTTTTTTCCCTTCCCAGCGCCAAACGTTTTGCGGGGAAGTACTTATGCGGGATAAACGTGTCCGTGTAATTCAATTATTTACGTAACTTCTAATCTGCACTTTGCGTAATTGAACAATTTTGCGCGTGCTTAGCGGCGGGTCTCTGTGCCCTCGTGTCCCCCGGCGCCTGCCTATGAACAACGCTTATCCGGTGTCCTCTCTTGGACAAGGGGATTTGGCGTTTGCTTCTTCTTCCGCTGAGACAAAAGTCCCATCATTCGTTGCGGGGTTGGTTGCGCGAAGGTTCGCTCCGCACGGACTGCACATCTTCCTCCGATTTCGCACCTCCGACTAGCACGGTTGGCTCCGTACGGTGCGAAAGAAGTTCAACGCATCTTCTTGGTTCTTTCGGTAAAGTCACGTAGAAGGGAAGTAATAAAATAATAAAAATAAAACACAATAAAATAATAAAAATAAAACATAATAAAATTTCGATTTAAAGCTTTCGTGACTGCAGGGATTCATCTTCTTGGTTCTTTCCGTAAAGTCACGTAGAAGGGAAGTAATAAAATAATAAAAATAAAACATAATAAAATAATTCTCACGACGTTTCGGCCACAACGCAAGCAGCCGTCCTCAGGTGAGGTGCTTGCGTTGTGGCCGAAACGTCGTCAGAATTATTTTATTATGTTTTATTTTTTATTATTTTATTACTTCCCTTCTACGTGACTTCACCGAAAGAACCAAGAAGATGAATCCCTGCAGTCACGAAAGCTTTAAATCGAAATTTAACGTACACAAATCCCGTCAATCTACGCTGGGCGCATCCACTGTCCATACCTGTAAATCCACACGGTTTGCTCCGTGTTCTTGTACAGGAATATTGCGTTTTCAGGTCCATACGGCGCACAGTTGTTTCAATACGGGCAGAAAATGTGTATATGTGTTTGTGTTTCTCCCCTTGTGATGGGACTTTGTAGGATGAACGTTGAGATTTTTAAGGGGCACGGGGTGACCAATAAGGTCTGAATTGGCCAGTACTAAGGTAGGGCACTGATAAAGGGTTGACAGATATGACTGACCTTCACGTCATGATCCACAGACTCACACACACACACACGTACACTTACAATAATTAATTGTTTAGCCAGGAAGCGACCCAGCGTTATCCATAGACTTCAACTGAAGTTCACCAGTTCAATTCCCCGTCAGGAGAAACCCCAGCCCATCATCCCCGCGGGGGTGGATAAAACGAGTACCACGTTGTGAGACGTCACCATTGTTGTCCTGTGGAAAGACTTTCTGAACGATTAATCGATTTCAAATCGAAATCGCAATTTGAAACAATGCGATTAGTCAATCGCAAAGGCTGCGATTTGAAAAGTCGTATCGGATTTTTATTATTATTATAACTTTATTTATTTAACTTAACAATTCTTCTATGTTTGATTGTTCTATTTCAATAAAAAAAAACATTTGGCTTTCAAATAAATACATGTTGGAAGCAATTCATGTATTTCAAGTTCTCATCCTTGCATTAGAATATATAGAGCAGTTCATATTTTGATGGCATCATGTGGCAATGCTCCATCACATGTTTTAAATCTATTACACAGTGAATATTGAACCGAAGCTTGACTTAAAAAAATGTAATCACGAATCAAATCGCAACATCTGGTTGGAAAAATCGCAATTAGATATTTTCCCCAAATCGTTCAGGGCCTAGAATGCCGAATTCCCAAGACTCAATCAGCAAATGCAAATCGATGATTGCCACGCAAAAAAGACCCCCTACGTGCGTTTGACCAGGAAAACAAAAGCACGCGTACCGTATTCCCTCGATAACAAGCTACTTAGAAATGTAGCAAGAAACCCGAGGCTTTAAGCTCGGTGTCAATAAAGTTATACGGATCTGGAGAGAGACAAATATCTCCCGTGATGCCTCAACAGACTGTTGGGGCAAGTGCTGTTAGCGAGCACCTATGAAGGCCGGCACGGCACACGAGGTGGTGGGCGGCCAGCACCACGCCCGGTCGCCTTTGTCTCCCCAGTGGCGATGTTTACACACCGCACCAGGTACTCATTTGAGGCTGAGTCGACCGAGGGGAGGCCCAGGACCGGTTCCGATTATAATCGTCACCGGTGTTGGCCGTGGCCGGGGAATCGAACTCGAGCATCCAGGTTCGTAGCGCTAACCGCTGCACCACCGCTCCCCAAAACACACACGCGCGCATCCTCATGTCTCACCGCGAGGTTCGTAGCATCTTCGTGATGCGGTTGCAAACCTAAAAATCTCAACCGAACATCGAACGTCCGGCCAATTGCACAAAAGC